TTCCCGTTGCTAAGGTTAGCTAAGGTTGGACAACTTTTAGGCCCGCCGCTGCCGTATCCTCGACACACATACGCGTACGCGCGTACGCGCGCGCACTCCTCGAGAGATTATGGCTGTTGTCTGGCTTCCACGGCCGTGCCTTGAGGCCCGAACTTGTTTCTTCGTGTCGGCTTTAGCGATCTCGAGCGCAGGCTCTTGCCGATACTCTTTTACTCAGGAGGGCCCTGCCGATTCACCGAGGTGAATCCGATCGCGACCATTTTTCTCTCGTCGTACGCAAAAAGCGTCGAAGAGCTTGTCTCCTTCTCTCCCTTTCGTGTCCTATCTCATTCCCTTCCTCCCGCCCTTAATCTACTCGCGATCCCTCGCCCGCTTACTTGTACGCTTACTCTCCCCCTCACTTTCTCTCTCTCTCTCTCTCTCTCTCTCTCTCTCTCTCTCTCTCTCTCTCTCTCTCTCTCTCTGTGTCTCTCTCTCCTTTCTCGATCTCCCTCCGTCTCCGTCTCCGTCTCTGTCTGTCTATCTCTTCCTTTCTTTCTCGCGTCGTGTCTTTGTCCCGCTGGCGGTGGAAATAGTTTGGGATCTTTTTACTCGGCGGCGCGTTCGCCTTTTTTATGTTATTTTTTTCTTTTTTCTTTCATCTTGTCCCTTCTCTTTCGCGTATCTTGAACCTTTTCTTCCTTCATTCTTCTTTTCTGCGACTGACCTTGCGGAGGCGTACTCTTTGCACTCACAGGAAAACATATCTTTGCGGTTGGGATTTTATTATTTTTTTTTTTTTTTATTGACCAAAAATATTTTATCGGGAGTACAATTAATATTTTTTTTTCAACTTTCTTTTTCTCTCAATCTATCTCTCTCTCTCTCTCTCTCTCTCTCTCTCTCTCTCTCGCTTTAATTAAGTGCTCTACTCTATCTGGAAATGGATCGATAAATTTGATTGGATAAAAATTGATGTACTACGAAAGTGCTATACGAAGGCGTTATCCTTTAAGCACCGCAACCGCGTCTTAATAAAAATATATCATTTAAAAACATAATATTTGTTCGGGTATCAAATTACTTTAAATTAATTCAGTTTATTAAAGCGACGCTTAAGTTGGCTTCTATTAAAAAAAAAAAGAGGATAAAAGAAAGAAATCGCAAAACAAAATAATAAAACTTAAAAAATAAAAAAATAAAAAAATTAAAATCCCGGAGATAACGCTCGTAAAAAAAGGACTTTGGTCAGGAGTAACGTTCAATTCCCATTAGCGTATACATTAAGTACAAACATGTACACCTTTGAGTGCAGAAAAGGAAAACGTACGCAAAAGGGTAAAGCCGAACGAGCGTTAATCTCTACGTGACACACGTCATTTCCGCTCGCATATCATTGGTAAAGAGACCGCGAGAGAGTGTGACTTTTCCCGCGGCTCCAAGCCCAAATCCGCGGCAATGGTGAGAGCAGCCTGGCCTTGGAAACTCGTCACCTTCGACGACAACGACGGCGACGATCGAAGACGCCGATCGGCCAAGTGTGTCGCTCGGAACGGTACCTCCGCACCAGAACGTCGAATCCGCTCGGCATGTCGCACACGCAATCCAAGAAGACGCGCGCAGGTCGCACTTCCGTCGCCATTGGGCATCGAGACGCATTGTAATTCGCACCCGCGCACGCATGCACGCATGCACGCATGCATACGCGAAACCCCACCAGCCCGCGGCTCTACCCTACTGGCCTCGCGTGTGTCAACGCTCCCGTTACGCACGCGCTTCTTCTTCCGCCCGCTCGCCTTTTATCTCGCGGCTTTTGTCTAACTATCGTATCCCTTTGTCGTCTCGACTGGACGGTTAAAGCATCGATCGCTCGCTCCCTCGTTCGGCGACATCGCGTAAATGTAAAGACGCCAACAACATACACGATTGTCCACTTAACGGGCGGATCCGTTACGAGCGATCGCTAAAAGCGGGAAGGAGAGCTCGTTGCCGAGGACTGCCCAACTAACTATCCTCCCGGTTTCTCATTACCTCGATTTCCTCTTAGTTTCCGAGAAAGACGAAATCGCGACACGCACACGCTCTCGCCACCGCGTATTACAGTTGGGCCGCTACGCTCGACGTAAGAAGAGGAAGTTGCACCTTGCGAGGGACAAGACATATATATATATATATATATCCCAGCGAACTAGCTTCATGCCACAAAAAATAGAAATCTCGTAGGAAGAAGCATCGAGGAACGGCTCGGGGCAAATAAAAAACATCTTAGACAGGTAGTAAAGTGTTCCGTTCGATATTGAATTGTATTTATTTTTCTTAGAGTCTCTTAAAAAAAAAAAAAAAAAAAAAAAAAAAAAAAAAAAAAAAAAAAAAAAAAAGAATATATTGCTGATATAATCCATATATGGAATCGCCCCGCTCCTTCGCTCCTCTTCTTCCCCTCTCGTCACCGCAGAGGAGCGTCAAAGGAAGAGGCGGACAGCGGATAAGGGAGGGCGTAGGCAGGTCGCCTGTGGTCGCCTTGAAAAACTCCGTCGATTAATACACCAGCCAGCCAGAAGCGTGTAACCGAGCAACCGAAATTGAGAGAGACGGAACTACAATGAGCTATAGAGACGAGGGAGGGAGAGAGAAAGGATGAAAAAAAGAGTCCCAGACTTTTTCTAAACCAGTTTTAGGACGAAACGCCGCCGCATATGCATGCGCCACTCGAGAAACACCTACTCACTTTACCGTTGCCCGGCGAGAACAACGAAAACTCGAGAGCGTTAAAGAATCTCCCGTCACGAAAATCTCTTTCCACTGGATCTCATGAGCCTTTTATACTTCTGCCTCTGTTGTGCATGTAAGCACGCGTGTACCACACAGGCATACAACCTCTACTACGTGGGTTGCCACGGAACACGGGAATTCCACGGGTACCTTCCCCTGCCTATATCGCAACATGACGAATCGAGTATTCGGTGACATTAAATATCTTGCCATTTACGTAATTCGCGACTCATTGCTTTTCTCGCCACTATCTTAAACGTGCATTTAATGAGCTAATAATAATTAAACAGAGAAATTAATTAATGATATAAATATATAAATTAATTAATTAAGGGAGAAAGTAAACAGAGCGAAGAAAGATGGCAAGACTGAATCACACGGTCTGTCCACCTGCAAGTAGGACTTGCAGCGAATATTTAAATGTCGCTAATCAGATAATCGGACGAGCAGCCGAGAACCCGTAATAATTCATTGCCGAGCATAAAATGGTAATGCGAGTGGAAAAGATGGGCGGCTAGATCGAAAGGTCTGGAATCGGGACGTCACGCAATTCATTAATGAGTCCACGAAATCGTTATTTGACGCTCCGCACCGCAAATGCAAAATAACAATAGAAGCGCCTGGCATTAAATAAAGCAGCCTCTAAGTCATGTTTACCGTTAACGCAGCGGACGAATGGAAGCGGCGGCCACGACGTCGCTTACGAATCGATAATTACAGCGCGACTCTTATGTCAACGGGCGATGATTTCACCTTATTCGTGATCACCCATTACAATTACGAATGCGCGCAATTAGAATAAGCGCTGAGCCACGGTATTATTTCCATTCCTTACCGTAATGAGACGAGACAATGACCGAGTCTTGCTCATTGCTGACTGATTGATGTATCGCGGGGAGGCACGCGGGTTCGAATAAAGTCGCCCCAACTTTTTCCCTCGGACGAATGAAAAGCTGCGTCCGTCCGTGGGCTCATCGCGATAATGGAAAAAGTCGTATAATAACGCAGTGGCTCGCTGATCGACCGACGTATCCCTCACTCCTATCTCATTCAGAGGCGCGCTCACACGCAACAAACAGCGCACGGACACGCGCACTTTCTATCTCTTTATCTTCGCGGTTACATCGTCTCAAGGGCAGCGCCATTTCATTGGGCGCCAACGCGCTTTTTATTCGGTTAACGAGGGGCCGGGCACGGGGGCCGAGAAGAGGGCACCTGCGTGTCAGGTGCCCGTACCTGCGACCCGCGTCTCCGTTAAACGAGCGCTCGAGGCGCAAAATCTAGGCCGTAAACCGGCCTCTACATCATTAACCTCGCGCGACATTACATTATTCCTACATTATTACCAAATTCCCTTGGCTATGTACTTTGCGATCGCTGCTGGCGCCGATCCGTTATTGACGGTCTCGATGATCGCGAGGCATGCATACGAGCAGATGCACGAAGAAAATAAAAATTAGATAGAAATTAGATAAAAGACATTGAGCAACGACCATCGCTTTCGCGCTATTCCCATCATCCATTTTTTATCTCGAAATAATCGTCATCCTTACTTTGAACAAATTGACATCGCCCCTACTCCGTATCATCCTGACTTTAAACAGTCGCAGGGATTCTCGAAGATCCGCGCTCTCTACCCCTTTCGACTCCCCCCCCCCATCCCCACTTCCGTCACATAAAACTCTCTACAACCCCCTACAACCCCCTACAACCGCCTACAACCTTTCGTCCATTCGTTCTTTCATTTGATCACACGTCATACGACGACGATCTATGTGTCTGATGTAGCGGTGCCGAATTTAATACCAAAATTACTGGATGACAGGCAGGGTTGCGGTCCCCGACGTGGAAACTGCGATCGCGAGCCGATCACGCAGGTAGAAATTATGATCCAGACTATCGGAAAGTGTGATTAAAAGAGCGTGTATTTTATCCCGTTACGTTGGATCGACTTGTTCGTGAATTTATCCGATCACTAGCACGCAATAGCACGGAAGATCACAAATGACGGGATCTCGCGACACTGCGCGTCCGTAGGATCGTTCCGTAGGAGTGAAATCGGTAGTCCTCGGGCTGCGCCCCGCGTTATCCTTTATGCTCCGACGGGCGGAAAGGTCAGGCACACGAGACACAGGTTGAACGAACTCCGAAAGCCGTGCGGAATATCGATACCTCTGGTCCATTACTCCGGGTACACGGCGGAGGCGGCTGCGGCCCCGGGGCCTTAAGTCTACCTCGATGCTACTCACACTGATGCTTGTTGACGATGAGGCTGAGTGGCTCGGCACCACCGAGCGGACTCTCTTTGCCTCCTGGTGGCGGACTCTTGCCGAGGTGCTGTGCCTCCAGCAGACGCAGCTGCTGCTGGTGCAGCCGGTTCTTTATGAGAAATATCTTGGGCATCGCGCTGGCTCCTCGGTACCTGCTCCCGTCGAGGCTCCTCCTTCCTCAGGCTCTTGGTCTCGGGTTCTCCCCTTTATTCCTCGTCCAAATCACAAGTGCACGTGGCCGGGCCTAGGGCCTCGGGCCCGGCATGCCCCGCTCGGCGCGCACTCCCTGGGCCCCGGATGACGCTCACTCGCGCGATCGGACGTCGGTCCTCTTCCTCACGGCTGGACTACTACGTGAGCGTTCGGCCTTATCCGCGGACTCGGTTGCGTTCGGTTGTGTTCGTTGTGCTCGGCTCGCTCGCGACGACGGCGCTCGACTCGGCCTCTCGTGCTCGACTGGTCGGGGGCCTTGCCGCGCTCCTGCCGCCCGACGACCGTCCGTCCGTCCGCCGGAGACACCTCGGTCGTCTCCCTCTCTCCCTCCGCCGCTCCGTCACTCGCGCTCCCTCCTTCCCACCCTCCCTCGCGCTACCACGATCTTTCGCTCGTTCGTTCGTTCGTTCGTTCGTTCGTTCGTTCGTTCGCTCGCTCGCTCGCTCGCTCGCTTGGCCACGGTCTCGGCTCTGCCCCTGGCGGCCTCTCGCTCGCGCACGCGCGCAATCATCGGGGCCCTCCTCGACCGACCGACCGACCGACCGACCGACCGTCCCCCGCCGTCCCCCTGCCACGGGGAACCCTCGCCATCCCGCACTCCCTCGCTCCAGCACCCCCACCCCCTCCACCCAACCATTCTACAGGCAAGTCGCCTCGTACGCCACGCTATGTACCGCGTATCCCCTCCATCGGGGCGGCCCCGGTTCTTCCTCGCTCGGTCTCCTTCGGGCCCTTCGCTTCGTTCTTCTTCTTTCCCTCGGCAGCCCGATCCTTCGCTCTTTTTTCGGACAGCGGGATGGAGCCCCTCTACCGCCCGCTCGTCGATAAGAGTGGTGGCGGCGTGCCGCGATGCCGCCGGGGCTCGCGCGGCGAAGAGGAAGAAGAGGAGGAGTTGAAGGAAGGAGCTGCGAAGTAGGAGGAGAAGCGGGAAAGGGAGAGAAAGAGAGAGAGAGGGAAGACGGACAGGTATTATATGTGCATTTTAGTCCCGCTTCGGGGCCTTCCTAAGCCAGTTCTCAGGATATACACGCGCATACCTTGTTGTACCTGTATGTGAAGATCTACGGCGCATGCGCGTAACGGGCTTTTGCTCGCGCAGTTGCAACACACGCTATGCGCGGGCCCGTACCGTGCCATGTCGCATCCGAGACCGCTTGGGCTTTCTCGTTATTCCCAGCTTCATCGCCGAATGCCTTATGCACGTGTAAAAGCGCCACCACTGCTCGCGTCGCGTGATATTCTCGCCGGGTCGCTTTTTACCTTCTCCCTTCCTTCACTACCCGTCACAATTCCCTCGCTGCCCCCTCCCCCGCTACCCGCCCTCCCGATGCTCTTATTTCCCGCGACGATGACGTATCCCCTGATGATGATGATGATGCTCGAACTTAACGACGCGCGCCTTTTCCCGCTTATCGGCGAGGACTACGGGGTTATATCTTACGGGCTCGAACGCTTCGCACCTCGCTATCGGTTCATGCTCTTCCATCACTGAAGAACATATCGCTGATACTTGTCATTCTTAAACGGAGGCTCCGCGCAGCGTTACGTACGCGTCCGCACTCATAGCGCGAGCACAGATTTTCTTTGTTCCGTACATTTTCAACGTCGACGAGCGAATTAACAATAATACGCTTGTTCGCTGAGGAAACGATGCAACGACGACAATCTATCGCTTAAATTTTAAAGGGCATGTCAAACACGCCTATCTAGCGTATCCAGTATATCTAGCATTTGCCCCTCCCTTTATACAACTATACGTTCTAGTTTCCTGATAAAGGAGCTACTAATATCGGTAATCTTTGCAAGTGCATAATACCAATTATTCAGTCAAAATTGTATTCAACGCCATAACTATCCCTTATCTTAGAAAGGCAAAAAATAAAAAAGAAGTAGAAAGAAAAAATAGACGAGCTATTACATATTCCCGCATATGTTACCTACAGCGATAAGAGAAAGCACGCGCACATCCCGCAATGTTGGCAGATACTCTTACGCGAGCGCAAGTATGCACGTAAACCCGTAGGAAGCGTGCGCGCTAAGGAGAGCGAGTAGTGGCGCGACGGGGGAGGGGGTAAAATCCATAGCCCAGAGAGAGAGAGAGAGAGAGAGAGAGAGAGAGAGAGAGAGTGGAGAAGCGTAGAGTACATAGTAGAGAGGAGAGAACAAGAGAACAACCATCGAGTAACAAACGTAAAACAAAAGTAAAAAAGATAAAGAGAATTCGCCAGCAAAAGCGTGCGAGAAGCGAAGGGAGGAGTCACAGCCTCTCAAGCCGATTCTACAACGGAGGTCGAGCTAAGGTGTCGCGCTCCTAGTCGTCCCGTCCCATCGAGCTCGCATTCGGCTCACCTACGAGCGCACATACTCTCGTCGAACGTGCCCGGGGTGAGCCGCCTAGTCGGAAGTGTCGCGTCGCTGAGGGCGCGATCCGCGCGCGACTGCAGACTCGCCCTAGCGAAGCCGCACGTCGTCGAGGTATGCGCGCTCGGGCCCCGTGGGCGCGTCGTACGTGTGCGCGCGCGGAACGAGCCGACAAGGTTACGTTTACCTTTGCAGCTCCGCAATTCTGGTTACGTCGCACAGCTCGGCTCCGCCAGGCTATACGGTATATACCGCTCTAGCGGCTTGAGCTTAAACCGTGCGCCGAGCCGTACACCGGGAGTGAGGAGGGCAACGTTGGTATTCTCCCTCCGTGGTGGGGTGGGGTTGAGGTCGGGCGGAACGGCGAGAGCGGTAGGGGACGAGGGGCGGCGGGCAGCGGGCGGCTCTCGGATCACCTTGGGTACCGTCGCGGATGCCAGACGTAGCCACGAGAAAACCTGCATCGGTGCGTATGTGCGCGAGCGAGAGACGAGCGGACGGGTAGAGAATCGCGTATATATATATGCATACATGTGTGGAGGCAGGCTGATATTTGCTCGCGGTACGCTGATGCTTTGTCCGATTGCTCATTTCGCTTGTCCTTACTTTTTCCTCGTGCAATCGACCTTTTGTTTATTTTCTCGATTGTTTACCGCCGAAGAAATTTGCCGGTGCATTACCGCGTTTTTACTCCTGTTTGACGGAGTTTTGCTTTATTCAATAACCTTAGAGCACGCCGTTTCAATGCAAAGTAGCCCCAGCGCTCTCGCACTCTTTATTATATTAATCGCCGATAATACTTGATTTGTTTAGGCTGCGTAATGAGATGGGAGCGCATAGTGTAGACGCAATGGCAACGGCTAAACACTATTATACTATTTCCAATTGAAATACCAATTGTCGCAGTTTCAAGGAGGATATCCGCGATAGCTTTACACGCTTAAAATATGCTACTACAATAATCGTTACGCACCTAATGGATTCTCGACAAAATAGTCCACGTTATTACGCGAACCTCATTGGTTATTGATTAAACAATACTCGTATCTATTGCATCGCTCTGATATCGTCCAAAAGCAACAGTTTCCAAACAGACTACGATTACTTTCTGAAAATGAAAAACTCAAATAACACGCGCACGCACACCCACACAATGCATTCGCAATTACCTAATGGGCAATTACTTTTACCATTATTTAATATAGTTTACTATATTACAGGTTATTTTATTTATGAAAATGTGCAATAAAATAGTATAATGTAATAAAATATACATATAGAATTGAAGATTTTATGCACTATCCATATTTTGTAATATATATATATATATATATATATATATATACCTATATGTATAGAGCATTTAATGGTAAAATATTAGTATTTATATATGAAGGATTTAAGGAATGGAATGAAAATTTCATATATCAGGCTGCATTTTTCATTATTAATATATAATATATAATAACGCATGCACCAATGTTGTTAGCAAAGTTCGCGTTAATATCAAATTTTATGAAATAAAATAGGTATACAAATGTTACAGGAACATCAACGCTTAATGAAGAAAGTGCCGAATGTATTTGAATTTTCGAGATGAGTTTGAGACCTCTGCTCCGAAATGAGATAATAAAACCCGTAAATCAGAACCGTATACAATAAAAATATTTTATAATCGGAAAACCATCCGCCGCATGTAATTTTAAACGAGCCTTAATTTATATTCACAGGCAGATGCAGTTGGCAATGTAAAGGAATGTTATAAAATGTTTCGAGTAATTTACATTCGTTGACAATTACATGCGGGATAGAGCAGCATGACATTGTCGATAGTGAGGATATGGGCCATATAATTGCGCAAGTGCTTTTAAATTAAAAATCAGGTGGAGGCAAAGTAGCTACGTAATTATAAAATAAGTCGTTTAATTTGCTAAAGTAAACGTTACTGCGGTCAGCGATTAAAGTCCGCATTTAAGCCTTGGATCGGCCAATAACGAAATATCTTATTGAAAGCATATAATTACAAGGTCATCCTCCGGATTCCTAATCCGCTGGTAATCCGGCAGCAGGGACAGGCCTCGCGATCTCCATTACCTCGTTGCCGAGGGCTCCATTACAAATCCGCAATCGGCGTTAAAATCGAGAAAGAAGAGCCCCGCAGGCGCTAAGGGCCACGGCGCTGAATAAGACAGGAGGAGGAAGAGGAGAAGGAGGAGGACGATTCGGGGATCGAGAGTTTCCTTACAATTGCGTCTGAGGGCGGCTCCGAAACGTCAGCTCAGGGAACGCGTACTAATAAGCGGACCCCCGACACCCGACCACGATCATTCTTTCTAACCAAGGGATTTCTAAGCCTCTACGATCGCTGGCCCCCCGATTCGATTTTTCTCCGCAACACCCGCATTTTTAAAAAGACTGCGGCATTTTACTGCGACATTACCGCTCTAGTTAAAATAAGACCTCGAGGGCCTTGTCACCGGGCCTCCACTTATCTCCACCCATTCTGATACGATGCTCTGATAAGAGGCCCTTCGCCCCCGGCGATTCGACGAGCGTCAAGAGTTAATTAGCACTTTGTCTGTTCACTGGCCAATTGTTTCGGAGACAATTGTTACTCAGGTTGAGAGCAATTCTAAACGTTTTCTCGACTTTTTTCTATTCTTTTCCCCTCTAATTTTAACCCACCACACCTGCTCATACGTATCCATTACCTATTATTTTACTGAAATGAGCGATATGAATGTCGGGGGGGGGGGGGGGGGGGGGGGGGGGGGGGGGGGTTAGGAAGGAGGAGGAGAGGAGACTATTACGACAATGTTAATAGGTTCGTTTTAATTTAATCCCTACGTTTGGATACTCAAAACTTAACCAACAAGTAATACTTTCGTACGGAAATTTTTATCTATAACGACCAACTATTCTGAAATTAAATG